ACCAATACGAAGAGAACCTTTTATTTATTCTAAACATGATCATTATTTATTTAATGAAAAAAAAACAAAAAGTAAATATTTATTTGTTTGAATTCGATTATAAAAATCTTTTTTTAAAATTCTATCGATATAGACGTTAGTGGAAATATTTATGGTAGATATAAGATAGATCATTTTAATATATAAGATTAACAATTCTTTCCTTTAAACAATAAACAACCAGTTTGAGAATATCGTCAACCTCTTTTACAATATCAAAAACTATCAACAATCAAAAAATTTCAAAACAAATATAACACATAAATGATTGTCTTTATTTTATTTAAATCTTCTAGTAGATAAATAAGAATATTAACCGTTATGATTAACGGATTTATTTTTAAATCAACTTGATAAAAACAGATCACCATTTTATCTTAAATGACATGAACAATTTTTAGATGAATATTATCGAAAAGATAAGATTTTATTAAATTGATCGAAACATTTCAATATTTGTTAACGTAAACTAGAAATTGAATAATATCGTTAAAGAAGATCGTTCATCTATGTATTATCTATTAACAAATGATGCTCATCTTGATCATTTTATCTTATTTGATGAACATCTACAAGTTTATCAACCTCTTATATTAGTTTATCTTCAACCTAAAGATTATGAAAAAGCATTAAAAACACTTCAATAATTAGTATATTCGTTTTTTTTTATTTTTTATTTCGAATGATTATAAACTTGTTTAGAAATATTGACCAAGATTAATTGAAAAATAACTTTAAAATCTAATATCTATTTGGATAAAGAAATATAATAAACGTTTTTTAAGCTAATAAATTCTAACCAGGAATTATTTATTATTCAAGAGCATTTACAACAGTAAACAATATTTTGATTTTATTTATTTTCAGGGCAAAACTCTATTAGATTTTTAAAGATATTCTTTATCAAGAAGATCTATTCATAAATCAATTGATAATAATTATATTCTTTCGTATATATCTAAAATATTTCATCTAGTCAATAAATGGCTTATTTAACAAATAATAAATAAAAATTAATAAAATATATCTTGTTTAGAATAAATAAGGATCCTTTTATAATAAGGTTATCATCGAATATATCCATTAGATTTTTCCATTGATCATCATCTGAGATAAGAATATCTTTTTTTATATTCTTTATTAAATATTGCTAAACGAACTTGTTTATACATCTTTACAAGTTAGAAATAGAGAGAAAAAAAGATCGATAGATCAATGAATGATTCTTGATTTTAAATTTAAGGCAAACGTTAAATAAGGAAAAGAATGTGCATAAACAGTTTAAACTAATGATTAACGAGCGAATAAATGATCAGTTAAAATTGGTTAGAAATGAAACGATTGAATCTATAATATATTTTAACTATAAACCTTTTTTGAGCTAATATCATCCTCATTTTCTCTTTAGATTGATAGAACTAATTCCATTTATATATTATAATCATACTCGAATAGAAATCAACATTTTCAATTATCCGATTTTATTATCAATGAGTATCATTATTATATTCTTTAATAAAAACAAAGAGAAAACGTTATTTAAAGAGACATTAAAACTATCAGTCGACTTTTTCAAATAGAATTATATTGAACAAGAAAATAGGATTTCTTCTTTTAGTTAATAGTTTGATGTCTAACAGCGTTATAGAATTCGAATTGATTATTTATTTCGAATATATTGAGTAACGTTTATTGAAAAGGTGAGATTGATTTCATATTGATATAATTGACAAAATAAATCAATATAGAATATTCTAATCATTATTTGTTTGAGTAAACAAAGATTAAAAAAATAGATCATTTTAAAATAAAAAATTCTCTGTTGGATCTTCATTCTATATATTTGATTTTGTTTTTCTTCTTCAAGAATATGTCAGGATGTAAGGCATCCATCACAGATCTCTTTTTATTTTATATTCTTACTTTTTAAATCGAGAAAAAGATGAAAAGTTTAATGTACCGAAAAATTTTCAAAAAATGATCATCTACTTACAGAAAAGGCAAAAAATCAAACGAGAAGTTCTTTCGAGAATTGTGAGTGACTTGTTGTGTACTCAAAAAGTGAGTACACTACTAAAATCGGTCAGTGTGTCCGGCCGTCCGGCCGTCCGTCCGTTTATCCGATAACTTTCGAAAGGAGAGTCCGATCGCGATGAAATTTTCTACACAGTTCAGTCTTAACAATATGTCGGTCGAGTTCGAAGATGAGAAGGATTGGTCGAGCCGTTCCTGAGTTATTGCAAAAATACTCATTTTTCCCTGCACCTTCCCCATGGAAAGATCGACCCATCCCCACTTTCGTAAAAGACTTTTCCTATCATAGTCAACTAAAACCCCAACTATTATATACCATTCGATAGAGAATTTCACGAGCTACAAAATGGTATATAAAATATAAAGAAACAAGAAGGTTGGCTCATCTATCACAAAGATAATTAAAGAGAACTAGGTTATATTTTTGTCCACGATCTAATTGATCCACAAATAGAGCTCTATCTTCCGATCACAGTGATGATACTTCGAGGTTTTCTGAGATGGAGAACTCGAATCTGTATTCCACTTCCATCGAAATACTATTGGTTGAGCAGTGACCAATAGAAATCAAGTTATAGGAAAAACGACTTTCTTAGGGTAAATCAAGGGGAAGAGTTCAAATTTTCTCTGTATTCGGTCCCAAGTCCTATTGGTTTGGCAATACTCAATAGAAATCAACAGTTTAGAGGGTAGGTTCCCCAGTATAATTTTGATGTCCACACGTTCTAGAACGACTCATCTGTCTCATTCACTTTTTGAAGTACACATAACTCTCGGATTTAAATCCGAAGTTTCCGCATTTATTTTTATTATAAGAACGAGAAATCTTAAACGACTATGTACGTTTATAATGAATAATTTCCTCATTTATATTAAATTGATTGACTTTTAAAAGTTATTCGTTATTTCAATATAGATAGTTTCATTCGTACACAACGAAGATCATCTTAATTAACTTATGGACATTTATTGAACGATTCTCCTAATAATTTAGTTAACAATCGAAGATATTATTCTATTATTTACTCATTTTTATTAAATCGATCAATTTAAAAAACGCAATTATTAAATCGTTAGAACATAATAATCATCGTTTAAATGATTTAGGAAATGAAATGAATTATGCATGAAAATCTACCTATGATATAGGTGATCATTTCGCTAAATATCTTCGACGATCTTGAGCAACAATTTATCCAAATGTAAGATGTTGATTATGTGACACAGACAATTATGTTTGAATCTCGACAAAAAATTTTATATAACCGTTGATAAACATTAACTAAAAGTGGAGAAGTAAATGAAGAAAATAACACAATAATTAGATAAATCTTAAAAAAACAAATCCAATAGAAATACATCTTAATACTGTTAATCGTTTACCAATCGAAAATAGCTAGTCGAATAGCACCGCCATTGACCTTATATCGGAACGTCTAGAAGAAGAACTTTATCATCTTGTTGATTGACAATGTCTATTATGTGGTTGAACACCTGATGATTATTTCGATAAACCACTTTATCCAATTTTATTATCTATTCGATTTAGTTATAGTCACTCATTTAATTGATTGATTTAGATTTTAAACGATTTTTTCTTTATATCAATAAATTCTATTTGATGATTTTTCAAGGACTTATTCTTAATTTCAATAAAAGAAGAATTAGATGTTTTTTTTTTCTTATAAACTATTGATCTAATCGTTTTTCTAATATTAAAAT